CTGACATTTCCGCTTTCCTATCTCGTTTACCAGTTAAACTCCACTTCACTTATTCGATGTTATTCAGAAGTCCCCGAACTCTGCAGACAAAGTTTCACCACAACTTTTACTCTTGCATTGCTTTTTTTTTTTTTTTTAGAAAATTGAGCCTGAAGTCCTCTAAAATCATCGCAAAGCAATACCGCAAACAAATTTTTACTCAAGACACTATCATTGATTCACCAGCCACTTGCCAAAATTCTAAAAACTTGCCCATATTTTACAATTTCCCATAGGTGAAACTGCCCCTTTTTCAAGCCAGTGCAGTTTTCCATAAGCCTGTTGCTGCAGTTCCTTGCGAAAAGAGCCTTTCATTCCCAACCTGTCCTTAAAAACCCCGAAATTACGGAAACGAGTACTCGCTGGAAAAATTCCAACTCTTTAGAATTAAGGTTTAATTATGTCATAGCGTACCTATGATTTCATGACAGATTTGTGGTATTCAGATGTTTATTTCTTGAACCCATAGCTGTTAAAAAGTTACAAAAACGATTACGTGGATATCTGAATCTGGTAGCCAAGTGGTATTTTTTTTAAAAGTTAATCTTTGGTTTTTCGTCTCATTACATGTTTTGCGTGACAGTTCGCTGTTATATTTGAAGGTTTTTCGTTAATCCGGAAGGTTTTTTCCGGAATCAGCCCGTAATCATTAGAGTACAGTCGAAATGAACGTTCCAGCTGTGTTAATTTAGCTGATGAGGTTGGGTATTTTACCCAGTTGACTAGGTTTAGAAATCTTTCACTTTTGTTGAATTGCGGATGCCACCAGTTTCTCTCATTAATTTGAAATATTTGTTTAAATATTCAACTTGGCGTTGAAACGGTTTTGACTGTCCAACGTCAGGAAACCGTTTTTTACCCGTAATTCAAGCGATATAATAGCTCTTGAAGTTGGTGAACTCGAAAGAACGCCAGATTTCCTCTGCCAAAATAGTAAAGCTAAATAGTGATTCTTAGAGCGTTTTGATGACTGTCGGCTCAGTTTCCTCGTTTCATGAATGTATCTTGGTTTTTAGGAGGTTATTTTAATTGTTTTTGGACTGGCTTTTTGTTGTAATAGGTTTACTCCTTTTGACAACTGACTGTCTAAAGTGGTCTTCTGAAACAAATTCAGTGGTTCGGAACGATGGGTTCAGATGTTAGCAAGGAGAAGTCCATTAAGCCTGAGATAGCTAAACAAGAACGGGTAGTCAGAAAGTTAGACGGGCGTGCGGAAAAAGCATTCAAAACTGTGGCCAAAGGACGTCAGTTTCTTAAAATTACAGATCTCACGGTTAGTTGGCCTTTACCAGTTTCGTATTCTGTCTTTCCACAAGTTCCTTGCTAAAAAATTTGTGTAATTTAAATACCACTTTAATTGTTGACAGCAATCGGTGAATAAATTCACGAAGTTCAGTTGTATTCTCGATTAAGCGTCTTCAAAACTCTTCACTTTGGTTTCTATTAATACTTTGTTTTCCAAATCTTTCAACTTTAATATTGATTAGAGGACAGGATGTTCCGTTTTTGCTGAAGGGAGTTGACAATTCATTTTGCTCGGCTTCCTTAGTTGTAAAAAGCTGTTTCATATTTTTTTAAAGTCTCTTTCTTTTCTTGAATGTGAGTCTAGAAATTCTTTTTCAATTTCTTTTTTGAAACTCTTTTCTTACCCATTTTTTGGCACAGCAGAAAGTGTGATAGCACTCGTTACTCACTTGTTTAAATTTTTATGATTTTTGTACACTAAAGTAATAGAGAGTTGTTTCATTTATGGATGGGTAGGTATCTTTTCTTTCCTTAAACTGTTAAAGGACAATACAGCAAAAGGAAGCTGATATCTGATGGGGTTTTGATAAAATACGGAATAAAATTAACAAAATAAGGGGTTTTTGGTGAGGAGATTTGCCTGAGATAGTTCGCTGGAATATAAATTTTCGTTCATATTTTACATTTACTTTTTTTTTCGAACTTCTGCTTTCTCTACTAATTACTGAACGCGCTTCTTTTCTAACAGGGACCAAACTTTTCTTATTTGACTTTGTTTTGTAATTATATTAAGTACTCCTTAAATTATTTAAAGAAATGAATTTGTATTTAAGTAGCTGGAACGGTGCTCAAGAAAATGGTCTACATATGGGAAAGTTTTTTTCACAGGTATTTCTTTTAAATTTGAATGGAAAATTTTTTCCTATTTATTAACGTCTCTGAATTAAGTTGATCTAGGGTCTCGTGTTGTAATTTTTTGCTAAAAACGGCATACATGAAATAAAAAAAAAAGTTGGAAATTTTTTTTAAAACACATTGTTTTTATTTCTGATGCTTGCGTTTCTCTAATTTATTCTTTTAAGACTGGCTGTGGCATTCAATATAGCCTTCAATATCTGTTTTATTTACAAATTCTGGTTTTTAAAGTAACAGTCCGAAGTCAATTCCCCAGTTTGTTATAAAGAATGGATTATTATACGTGTTATATTGTTTGCTATGTTTTGGGATTTTTTTCGAAAACAAACTGTTGCAGTTAACATCGCTGTTGCAGTAAGCTTTAGCACCCCGAAATATATATATATTTTTTGTTGATTACCCATTATCGTTTTTGGTTAGGGGACTCTTGATCTCGCTAGGTTTTTCTGTGATAATAACAGATTTGAGTATGTACTTTTCAACCTCCGGGGGGAGGGGCTGACGCGACGGTGTCGTTTCAACTCTTACGCTGTTGTTGTTAGGTGGTGCTTACTTTTCGTCAGTGCGGTGTTGAGCTCATTTACTGCTGTTCTGTTTCTTCTGTTTCTAGAAATATTACTGCTACAGTGGCATTTGTTCAGTTTCGAACTTTTTCATAATGCGCACTTTTCAACAAAAGCAGAACCAAGAACCAGTTTGATGGAGTCTGTAATTTGTGTCTACCTTTTACAACTCAGCAAAATAATAATTTATTAATATCATTGAAATAAAGCATAGCTTTTGCAACAAACTTGCATTATTTAAAGCGCACCAGATTCTTGTAGCCTCCCGCTGTAGCCCTCAGAAGCGGCTCCGGACGGTTTCGCCACTGTAAAATATATGGGATTACTGTAAAAACAGCGAATTTTTTTTCAGTTTTACATTCCAGTCTGACTCATAGCTGGCGATACCAAAACATTGTCATCTCCAAATTCTGATATGTTGTTGAACAAAAATTCTACACAAAATACGTCTTTATCAAAAAATTTAAAGACCCGTTTCTTTTTTAAATGTTTGTTTAAAATCTTATTTTTACTGTATCTATGTGATTTTTTAACAGAATTTAATAAATATCCATTTCAAAGTTTAAGATATGAGAACCTGCTGAGCAAAAAACAATCAAATCCTACTGAAAACAAGCTAAATTACAAGTCTGCAAAGTCAGGCATGCCAAGCGACAATCTGGCGAATTTTGCAACTTTGGGGCAATGTAACTTGACGAGGAATTCACCTTTCCAGCTATTTTTTCGGCTTTCCCATGCTGACCCAGACTCTGCTAATCGGCAAAACTGTAAAAAAGTTTGAGATATGAAGAGAAAGTGTACGATTTGGCATGAAATGCCCCAAATATATATTTTAGCAATCGACTATCCCACCTGTAATTTGATTCACCAGTTACAAAGTTACTTCAAACACAAATTATTTTGCAGGATGTGATGTTGAGTTCTACTTTCATTTGCATCAGTTAGTAAATCATTTGTTTGCTTTCAGTAAATGAGAATAATGATTTATGATTCAAGTGGTTCCAGGATTGCTTCATGGACTTGGACTTTCTCCCACTTTGGGTCTTTTTTTAAAAACAATTACTTTGAAACTGAACTGGTTATTTATCATGTTATTGAAACGTAACTCTGGATCGTAGGATTTCTCATTTCTGTGAACATTTCACCTCGAAGGGAATATTGTTGTTATATGTTTACAGAAAAGCAAAAAGAAGAAAACATTAAATAAATTATGATGTGAAGAATTCTAGTTGACTGAACTGAGAGGAAATTTTTTTCTACAGTTAAATTGCAAATTAACCTCAAGCTCAGAAATCTGGAAAAAGTGTTCCTAGCCGAGATAAAAACCGAATAAAAAGATAATTTCAAAGATTTTTGTGGCAGAATGTTGACCAAAGATTGTTGTTAGAGTCTTATATCCAACAGTTCTCAAGATTAAACTTATAGGTCTGGAAAGACTGTGTGTAACGCTTTGCTAAGTTTTTTTTATCTGTACGGAGTTTTTGTAATGTGTTGGACAAATCGGCTTTATTGTTTTAAAGTATATGGCGTTCCTCTGTGAAGTGTGTCTCTGAAGGAGACACTGCGGGTTTCTTTTGTTTTAATGCCATACTGAGAAGCTAAATTCTGCCAAATTTAACGTGATTTAAATTGTTTGGCATAAATTTGTAAGCTTCTTTGGTAGTGGGAGCGTAATTCTTAAAGGATTTGTTAGTACAAAAGTTACAGAGGGATTAAACGGGGCAAGCTCTTTGGTTGCAATTTCGATTTGCTTTCAAGATTTATTAGAAGCAGCAGCTAAAAAGGTCGGGGTTCTTTATGTCGATTTTTTACGAAATTTTTGGTAAAGGTGGCCTCAAAAACGACAAAGAAACTTCAGTTTCATTCTTTGGTGAGTTTAACCATAGCGATAGTTACTTAAGATACGTTTCTAAGAGGCGACTACTGTCAAGTGGCTACTGGTAGGTGAAAGGGGTAAAGCAAACAAAATAGTTTAGCAGAAAAGTTTAAACATTTAATTTCTTGTTATTTCCGGCGGAATTTTGTTTTAAAAAAGTCATCATAATTCGAGTTTGCTAAAATACTTTTAAACGTTTAGTGGCGTAGCTGGGTTAGGAAAAAAAACGAAAAATTTTGCTACCAGATGATTGAGAAGAGTGACTTCAAAGCCGTTGGGAAGTAAGTATGTAACACTAATAAGTCGGGACTTTAAAACTTGGCATTCTTAGAAAAGCAGCTAAGAAACTTAGAAAATATTCAAAAAATTTCCTAGGAGCTTTTTTCTTGCAGTTTTGAAACCTTTTAAGAAATTCAAGGATATACGACTTCTTCATTTTCTATGAGTAGAGCAAAGCTTTAAAGAGTGATTGCAGAACTTATTATTTGCTCTCACCGGTTGCCAAGTTTTCTTAATATCTGTGTTCCAAACTGCATCTTCTGCGATGGCATTATTATTAATGGCTTGTTCGTTTTCAGGGAGCTTTTGGAGAGGACTTGGGATCAGATTTATGGAAATTTTTAACAGACAATGGAAGCGAGAAATGTGAAATAGATATTGATCAATTTGCGGAAAAAGCAGTGCTGCTTCTAGGTGAAATTTTCAGGAAACTTAAGTGTTTTTCTTGTAACCCTATGATAACGAAAGTCACCGTTAGAGGTGTCATTAGGGAAGCTTACTTTTTAACGGAATGGAGCATTTTTTAACATAAGGTACTACGATTTCTTCGCTTTTTTGTCTGTTTAGAAAACTTTACGTAATATAGTTTTTATTTCCTTCATTCGGCAACATTAGGCTTCGATGTAGTTTGGTCCTGTGATGCTGTCATTTACTGTCGTCTAAGCTTTTCGCGCTCAAAGTAGTAGTTTACCAAGAATTTTCAGAATTGGCATTACTTAAATGTTCGCTCAGTCACCTATCTTTGTAGTACTGCTACAAGTCTCTACACTGGTGAAATATTTAACGGGCATTGAGTAGTGTCATCCTTGAGTGGTTTTTTTTTTTGGTTTGGCGGGGTTTCAGACCTTTTGATGTCTTTAAAAAACAGCTCGTTGTTAAACATTCATATCTTTTATCTTCCTGAAGATTTTTTTTGCTTTTCTTGACGTTTGATGTGCTCTACCTGCCGCCAGCATTTCATTTGCAGTTAGGTGCTTAATGTCTCTTGTAACCTCTCGGTACTGTTATGTGATGACTAGAGCTAAGTAAATTACCCCTAGTTTCATTCTCACCTCCTACATATTTTGGAATAGTTCTTTGACGGGAAAAAGTTGACTTGTGGTGAACTTAAATAACTGAGGAGGTTATAAATTTAATATCCGTTTTTTTTTTTTTTCAAATTTGACAGATGGGTATGCTGTGGTGTGGTGGTAGGCCAATCAGACACTGATATTGTTTTCTTGATTTTTTGGTCTGTTTATCTTTTTATGTACACTGTTGTCTTTAAAAATCTGCAGTCATATTTTGAATCCAAGCACTTTATTTTTAGGTACATCTGTCAGTCAGTATGTGCATTTACTGGCGCCTGCTGAACACTTGATTAATATGTGCGCATTGGCGGCTGGCGTCAGTTTTTCTTACGACGAAGGGTCGTCTTCATACTTAATTTTGAAATCTATGGTAATTATTACACTGTGGTTGGATTGACAATTAGTAAACTTGAAACTAGTTTTCTAACCTATATATATATATATATATATATATATATATATATATATGTGGATGCGCGTTATCTCTGACGTGCGTACCAGTAGCTGGAAAAATTTGTATGGTATCATTTCAACCCCACAGTAAATGGTTTACAGGACTGGAAGTTTTTGGGCTGTTTGATTGTGGCTTTTTTTACTCAGAACTTGAGCAATAATTTTCAGTAGTTCTACATTTTTTTCTTTGAATTATTCTATTTTAAATGGTACTTGTTAAGAATTTCATATTTTCAGTTTTAAATTTTGCTATTTTATAGATAGTCTAACGCAAGATTTGAAAATTTGATGGCAGCACCTAAGGTTGTGAATTCACATCCAGCCTACAAATGCGTAGTTTCATTAGCTTTCAAAACAATTGAGGTCTCTTGTAAGATTGTAATTCTGTCTATCGTAGGCAACGCTGAGCAGTTCTAGGTTATTTTCTGGGTTATTTAAAAATTCACAGTTTTTCATTTTGAGTTTATGTGTGCGTTGCAGAGTTTTTAAAAAAAGACACAAGGTAAAATTTATAAGGATGTAAGCGTAATTGTAATTTGAAGTACGGCTTATTTTTCTCTAAGGAAATTTTTCTTTTTCAAAACTGTATAGGTTAACGTAGATGAGGCGGTTGTTTTTTATTTGCATACTTTTGTTGTTGGATACTGAGCGAATGCCTTGATTTACAGTTTGTTTCAAAAATATATCATTGGACTGGTGAAATTCGCTGTTGTTTCCGCTTTTTATTTGTGTCAACTGTCTGTTTTAGGAAGATGCTGAAGGTTCTGGTGAGCTTGACTTGTGGAGGCGTCATAACTGTCCAGGCATGTGTGATGCAGTGCAGGCAAAAGTGATGGGAGTATTTGGCTTCGAGTCACCTGTATTTTCTCCTTTTCTCCGCTTTAATTAGTTTAGATGAAGCTCTGGTTTTTTTTCGTACGGTTTGAAATAGTGATTTTTGCAATTATAATGCCCACGTTGACTCTTGTTTAGACTTGACAGACTCTCTTACTACATGAGTTTTCAGAAAGGAGTGCGAACATACAGTTCAGATATTCTTTCTGAATTTGAAAAGTGGTTTATTACCTGCACGTTACCACCTGTCTACTTCCGTGTGAAGGTCATTTTATTCAAGTTATTCTTTTTTAAACAGCCGAAGTTTTGGGAGCGGTTTTTAGTCATTTTTCAGATTAAGGTTGGTACGAAAGTTTCGTGGTGAATATGTTGCGTTCAAGGTTACGAGACTTTTTTTGTAGTTTAAGGGGACCTTGTGATTTAAAAATAGAAACCTTGAATTTTGGTAGAAGAATTTTTCGATTCTAGCGGAAAAAATTCAGCCACGAAACCTTCGTACCAATTTTGTTTCAGACGGAGAATGGAAGCGTTGTTGAGGAACCTTGGGTGGTGCTATTCACAAGTTCTCTACACGGCATAAGTGTAACCAGGTTCTCCACTTGTATCGAATTCCGCTTTCGAGGCGTTTGTTAATAACGCCTGAAAGATAGTTGAAAAAAGCTGTTACAGCGGCTGAAATTTTATTCCGCTTTGATATGTAAAGCAGCAGAGTCTCGATGAAAAGTAATTTTTCATAAACTTTGGTCTACTCTTATTTTCTTTGTTACTAAAATATTTAGATATGAAGCTAATGTATTTGATTATCGCGGGCCGACTGTTGCAGTATTCCTACTTAATGATAACACACGTATAGTTTTTGCGACGGACCAACCC